TCGTCTGTAGTATTCTTTTATTTATAGTGGAGAAAACCAAAACAGGCAGATGCCTAATAACAATGGACCCATTGTGTAGGGTGGAGGAGGGGGGAGACACTGTGTAGGGTGGAGGAGGGGGATCCTTGGCTCTCCATCCAAGTTGAAATAAAAAATAATAAAATTTAAAAAATTTGGTTCCTCACCTCAACGGTGAGCGTTCCCAGCATGGCTCGCTGATGGCCTTCGAGCGTCTCCTTGGCAATGGTGACGATGTCGCGCTGATTTTTGCCGAGGAACTGCGTGATGGCCGTGTTCATCATGTCCTTGTTATTGGAGGGAATCTTCACCTGCAGGCACGGCCACAACACACGTACGCATCGAAGATGGCCGTCAGCTTTTTGCGAGGCACGTTGCCCCACTTTGGGCAGGTACATATACATGGACGACCCATTCTAGTACATCTAGTTCATTAATGAGTATGACCGTACAAAGTTTATGCAGAGCTGGTATTACAGTGTGTACTGTTGTAGTGGACTTGCCCAGCAAAACCTAACGGTGGGAAATTGATACATACGTATGTGTGTGTGTGTGTGTGTGTGTGTGTGTGTGTGTGTGTGTGTGTATGTGTGTGTGTGTGTGTGTGTGTGTGTGTGTGTGTGTGTGTGTGTGTGTGTGCGTGTGTGTGTACCAACGGTGATAATATTGACATGCGGAAGAACAATGGCGTGCGGCAGTGAGACTAACCTGTGCGACTCCGCTGACTGACACGGCCACTCCTAGCTTGGTGTACACCTTGTGTGTCTCCACATTGATTGTCATGATGTTTAGATTCAACCTGCACGTAGATACACACACACACACACACACACACACACACATACACATACACACACACACACACACACACACGGGCATTGATACATACAAAACATAACGTTACACACGTATACACACACACACATACACACACACACACACACACACACACACACACACGGGCATTGATGCATACAAAACATAACGTTACACACGTATACACACACACACACATACACACACATGGACACACACATTAACATACTGCTTGCGTTACGGGGAGTTCTGGGCAACAGAGTGAAAGGATACGGTGAGAGATCAAAGGTAGTCAGGAAGTCCCTGCTGAAACAGGTGTGTTGGCTACGCCAAGACATTAGTCAAGTCAGAGGGACTGCGACCGAGAGATAAGAGACTTTATCGCCTTCTTAGTATTTGACCCCACTAATTTCCCTGATACCTAAGCGGTCAAATATATCGCGTATTTGACTGCTTAGTCAAATACGCGATATATTTGACTACTTATATTTGACTCCTTAGAACTTCTTGGACTTAGAAATTTTCTCTCCAACTTAGAAAAAGAAATTTTTGAAGAAAGCAGAAATACACAAGATGGGATTAGAACCCACAACCTTGTGAATCTCAGTCACTCTTCCTTACCACCCAGCCACTGTGCTACCGATGGTGAACCTAGTTTAAACAATGATCTTGACTTTCAATGCAGTACAATGCGGTATAGGCTATAGTATAATACTAGAATTACAAGGATATGTCGTATATGAAGAGAAACTATTGCGTGGAGAACACGATAAATAGATTATAGACCTCATAGTTGGTCTATACAGGATATATAGACCTCGTAAAAGACCTCGGGGGACCTCGGTCTTTTACTCGGTCTATATATCCTGTATAGACCTCCTAACCGGTCTATAATCTATACGTATTGACAGCGAACGTGAAAACTGGATGATGGTGGCTGAAATATGTGTAAGTGAGCTGGGGCTCCGCAAGGCACAGTAATCGTGGCGAGCACGAGACACCAAGAAAGCAGGACACTTCAAGCAGAACAGAGAGCTCTCCTTTTGAATGGCATACACACACACACACACACACACACACATACGTGTGCGCGCACACGCACGCACACACACTGACACCCACCCACACACACACACCCACACACACACACACACACACACACACACACACACACACACACACACACACACACACACACACACACACACTGACACCCACCCACACACACACGGACACACTGACACACACACACACTGACACATATGCACTGCCCCCCCCCCCCCCCCCCACACACACACTGACACACACACACACACGGACACACTGACACACATACACACTGACACATATGCACTGCCCCCCCCCCCACACACACACACTGACACACACACACACACACACACACACACACACACACACACACACACGCGCACACACTGACACACACACACACATGATAGCATCGTCAGTACTAGCGTAGCGGACAGCAGCACACTGCGTACCTCTGAACACGATGCACACACTCGCAGTACACTGCCCGACCACCATTGATTTTGATGGTTGGTGGCGAGCGGCAACAGCCTGGGTTAGAGAGCAAAACCAGACATACAACATACAGTGGGGTCACACAGGGCAGTGGCAAGTGGTACCACCAGGGGGTAGGCACCGGCGGATTCTGCTTGAAAAGGTGGCAGATTCTGCTCGAAAAGCAGTGAAATTGGCAGAACCATACAAACCTTATGGCGGGCAATTCCTCGAATTCTACTCCATTTCTTTATCCATATACGAAACATGCATGAAACTTACCAGAAAAAGCACCGAATTCTGCCAACTTTTCTGCTGGCATCATCCGCCGGTGCCTACCGGGGGGGGGGGGGGGGGGGGGGAGGAGGAGTACACCGTATTTCCCCAAGTATAAGCCGCAGGTTGAACACTCAAAATTCACCCAAAAAAAGGGACGTGCGGCTTATACTCCGTTGATCAAATTAACGGCGATAACTAGGATCGGTGTCTGTAGTTCGTGTCAACTTTGCGTATAACGACACTCGGCGGGGCATCAGAAAAGTGTCGTTATATTCGCGAGGTGTCCTTATACCCAAAGTCTCATTATATGTATTGCAGTTAGATGGGACTTTGCTCTGGGCATGGAAAATCTGTCGTTCTTCGCGAATTGTCGTTATATCCGCAGTCGTTATAAGCCAAGTTAGTTGACTGTACATCACCAAGAGTGTGGAGCTCCTAACTTGAGCTAGGGATCTCAGCGCGTGAACTGCGCAGCCAGTCTGCGCAGGTGAGATTTTCGATCCCAAACGCGTCCAGTGCAGAAATCGTGGAAAAGAACATTTTTTTTCGAAATAAATCAAGTTGAAGAAGACAGTAGAAACGGCTGAATATTGCGTCCAGGAAAGCACGTTCTACGGCCATTTCCAAGCTACCTATCTCCCAGACACTCTCTCAGAGAAACTATGGAGGGTCAAAGAGCACAATCTTTCACTCTTGGACGCAGCGTGAACACCTCTTCTACTGAGCGCGATGTCTTCTCTCTGAGTGATAATGGCGGCGATGTTCGCGATTGCTGATGCACTGAAAATCGAAGTTAGGACAATCTAACCGGAGAAACGTCTGAATTTTTGACTGAATCCTCTCTGAAGTGGGTTCTTGCCGCATGGAAAATTATAGGAAAATCGACCGGGGCAATAGAGAGGTTCCGCATAACGTAATTACGTTAGTAAAAAACGTAGTCGATCTACGGAAAGTCTTACGTAAACTGCATGCGGATCTGGGTTCCGCCATACGGAGTTTTCAAATCACGTAGCTGCCCTTGGCAACTCCGACCGCGGCAGTGTACGACCAGATCGACCGGGGGAGAGAGTCATAAATTTGTACCCCAATCCACTTACGGACCAGCTACGTTATCAGAGCCCTATCTACGTACTCTCCGTAGACAACTTTCCGTAAGTGGAGTGCAAACTCGCGAATTCACGGGTTTTTCCCGCCCACTAACGTAAAGTTGCTCAACTTTACGTAGTGCGGAACCTCTCTAATATCGCCTTGGCCACGCTGTCTTTCAGCGGGAATTACAAAGTATGTTCGAACGACGATGAAGATGACGATTCCGCTAGTGTCCACCGCGTACCGCGGGCCCTAGTGTCGAAAATCCACCGTCGCCATTTTTCTGCTGTGTCCCCGAGCTGCACTCAAAACTCGATGACGCAATGTATGCGCAAACACCCTGCGCACTGCACGCGCTGAGATCCCTACTTGAGCTGAGATGGGTTCACTCAGGGCTGAATTCTTATTGAGTAATTCTTTGGCAGAGGTATGATCAAGTGCATACGCTTTGACTCAATGTTTGCGTATGTTCTGTTCCTAGTACTCAAGGGAGAAGGGAGAAGGGAGATTCCACCCCCTTCCAACTCCTATGATTATGGCCCCTCGCTAGTAGTCTAATTCGGAATCTTGCATTCTGGAAAACACATGCCGATCAGCAGGACTGCGTGGCCTTCACCGCATCATGGGTCAAGCCCGCACATGCCACTGAGTCTGTCAACTACAACAGGGATGAATTTATTGTCATATTTTTGCATAGCAGTTTCTGCTATACAAAATCACAATTGTGTAGCAGTCTTTGATTTTAATTAGCATTTTTCTTTGAAGGTTGGGTGTTTACCATATTGTCCTTCTTGAGAGTGATGCCTGAAAGCCCATTTGCAAAAAAAACGACTGAATCATACATGTACACGCAGATTGATATTGTCTGCACCACATACACTGCACTGTATGCATGTTACTTGATAGCACAGGCTAGGCATGGATAGTCTGTATGTATCGCAGTTTTTTGCGAGTCACGGTGACTTTTGAATAGCAGATGATCGATTTTGCATCGCAAACTGCGATGCGATACAGGATAAATTCATCCCTGTACAATGTATACTCGCATGTTGCACGTGCTGGTCGAACACTGGGGACGAAAGACGGGTGAATGTAAAGAAAGAAAGACTTTGAGAAGAGAGAGAGAGAGAGAGAGAGAGAGAGAGAGAGAGAGAGAGAGAGAGAGAGAGAGAGAGAGAGAGAGAGAGAGAGAGAGAGAGAGAGAGAGAGAGCGTCAGAGTTAGAGTTAGAGAGAGATCAAGGGCTCCCGACGGCATACACGACACAAATAGTTACGATAATATAGTCAACTAAAAACCATAAATTTTGGCGTGCTTGCAGCCCCGTGAAGGATACAATCAAGTAAACAACTTGTGCATAGTAAAGGTAGGTCGAGAGATTCTTTCCAAAGGCCATTCGATTTACATTCCTCTCCGACGGTCTTCTATCTACCTTGTGAACATGATCAGCGAGCACTAGCAGCTATTTCAGCCAGTTTTGACTTGCACTGCTGCCAGGGCAAGGACATACGGCGGAACACACTCAGCAGAAAGCCATTCAAGTGGTGCTCGCTGCTCTCTGCATGCTGCATGTGCCTTACCTGAAACGACGAGAACTTCATTGGGTCCCGATGTGGCGACTCCCATCCTTGCGAATGTCTCTATTCAGTATTCGCGGCGCGGCACAGCAAGCGACGACCAAACACGCTGCCCTTCCAACTCACAAGCCTCCCGAAAGGCAAGACAAGTCCTTGTTCAGTGGAGCGCAATAGCCAAGGCTTTGGTGGCGGGTTTTGTTTATAGCGAGCAAACAGCCTGCCTGGATATCTAGACCTCCTCACTGGATCTCAGGCTCAACTTCAAATTCCAAAGCCACTGGAAAAGCACGAGACAAACCCAAACTCTCAAGGCCAAGCTCTTTTTTCACATTTTTTCAGGAGATCCGGTGTGCATACATGTGACTGTGCAGTGACTCGTACTCCCGCAGCCCCGGTAGATCTACGCGGTACTTGGCGGTAGTGTAGTCTTGATGCGATTGATAACAGCTGCGCTCTGATCTGGATGCAGTCTGCAGTGCAAGTAGATCTACGGTCATGACTCATGTTAGTTTTTGTTACTGTTCGTTTTTTTTTGGTGTGCAATGATTATGTCACAATATGTGCATGCATATGCAATGCAGCTGGTTAGGTATGTATACTATCACAGGCAGGGTGCCTCAGGGAGTACAGGTTCCTGCACGAGTACGAGGGCAGTACCGCGGAATCCAGCCCGCGCCGCGATAGCGGCAAGGGCTGGATAACAGCGGTGCTGGCCGAGTATGAGTGACTATATATGACTCTATGAGTAGGCACTTCAGTCACGTGACACGACCTGTCAAAAAGTGCTAACGCTGAATCGCGTACATGCGTGGCACCACGGAAAGGGGCATGCATAGATCGATCTGTAGCTGCACGGAAGCTGCGCAGGGCCTTCTCGTGTGGCGCAGCGTGTAGCTGAGGCCCTCAGCTTTCGTTTGAGCCCACATACGTCATGATGCGGCAATTTTTTGAACTCACGTACAGTTCGAGTAAAATCGGCAAGGATTTTTCGGGCATTTCACTTGATTGCACGCATTTGCCATGTAGCTCATCGTCTTCAGCGCCGTATTTCCTTTCGGAATCAGTTGTCCTCGTTTGTCCAACACTTTGCGCATTGCTGCGCAAGAAGAAATAATGCGAGGTGTTATTGAAAGCGAGCCGCGACAGGCGTCCTCCCGGCAGTAGTCCTTGTTCGTCGGAGCCCATGCGCATGGCTGCGCAAGAAGAAATATTGCCAGGTGTTATATTGGAGTCGCATCGGAGCAGTCGTCCTCTCCTGCAGGCGACGAGTAGGACAGTATATACTTCAGCGACTGGACCAAGAGAGCTGACATCAAAACGGCCTGCTTGGAACAAATCGTCAGCTGATCAGCAGGTGGCTTCCAGCGACCAAGAAAAGCATTGACGGTGATATTATACCAAGAATCCAGCACACACTCTATGCACAAAATCTCTCATGCTGGAGTTGCTGAAGTTTCAGTAGTCCCAAACATTTGCAAACGATGTTCTACATGTAATAGTTTGTCATTTCTTTCCGTCAAATACGCGGTAAAATTCTAGTTTGCTCAGTCTTCGGCTCATTGTTCCTCCGTATTCGTCACCACGTCAGTACTGTACATGTAGCAACAATGTGTTCTGGCACTGAATTATTGTAGTTACTTTATCTTACCTCGAAGTCTCATCTTATGCTTTTCCAAAGGCTTCTCTGCACTGTTTTCATGCTGTTGCGATGGAGTTGCTATGGAGTTGCCATGGTGACCACACCCGATATCTTCGTCTGAGCTGCCGGACGGATGAAAAATGCGAAGTTTTTCCAAACCATGCTGTTTCTGCATTCATCTGGTTATTTTGACCTGCTTCCAGCGAGCCTGGTATTTTGCCACTATAGACACTGAAGCAAGTCCTACCAATTTCTGATATGCTGCTGGTGCCGTCGAAATACTGAAATTGCCGTTATTCAATTCTCCGACTTTGGATGGCTATATCTCTGTGCCAAGTTATTCTTTTTGCTTCAAATTTTCTGTGGAGTCTTCCTAAACCTATCTGAATCGGATACAAGAAAGAAATACGAGTATTTCTGGTTTTGAAAAAACCGCCTGAAGTGCCTACTATGAGTGACTGGAACGTGTTTCCCGTGTGCACCCAAGCCAAATAAAGAGATTAGGGCTCAAACGGTCACGGTTTTACCCCTGACGGTTAAAGGGGAAGTCCGGTGAAAAATTTAAATTTCACAGTCCGTAGAGTTCGGGGCGCTGAGTCGAATGGTCTTTGTCCGAGGAGGCTGCGGCTTATGGTTCGTCAGATACGCCCAATCGAACATGTGCGAATTTGAGCGCGCATCACCCAGATCCAGGTGATGACGTCACAGCGTGCAGCCAGGTCGCCACACCATCTAGTTGTGTACAAAAATGGCCATATTCGGAGCGCGTTCGATTGGGGAACCGTTTATCGCAGCTTCTTCGGACCAAGACCATTCGATTCAGTGTTACAAACACTACGTACCCTGTGATTTGCAGCTCGGTAAACCTGGAGGTTATACCGTATTTCAGCCGTTTCCGAGTTGGACTTTTCCGTTAGCCCATGGTCTACATGGTCTATGCGCTCTGCGCTGCGTGCATGCAGTGCGTGCAGTGTGTTATCTAGCTGTAGTGCAGTCAACAAACTCATGTCACAACTCAACTGCACAAGACTCAGAAAACTAGTCAACACACGGACTTGTCATGTACTACACTCGTATCAGTCGTATTGTACAGTCATGTAGTCAGAGAACGTGCGTTTCTCCTTGCCGGTGCCGGTGGTTGTGCTTTGAGAAAGAAAATTTTAGTTTTCCGCACCCGCGGCGCCTCATTATTTTATGCTACAGCGATGAGTGCACAACCGTGACAAGTGACAAAACAGCGAACAGCTCTCGGACCTAGAACTTTCAGATTCCATAGCGTTGCGAGCGAAGAGTCGTGCCCGTGGTTCAAAGAGCCTGCACTGTTCTCCAATTGAGTAGTCCGAAATATTCCAAGTTTGCACCAAAACATCACCATGTGGCAGGCTACTGGAGTCTAAGCGAATCTAATCGGTATGGAACAACATTTAGAGCACTCGCATCACTCTTCTCCATTTTGGCGACCCTGCTCTCCAGCGATCTGATAATTACATCAGCCTCGTCTGCAATAGCTGCTGCTTCTTCATCAGTCGGAAACTCAGTAGCGCTCACTCTTGACCGGCCCGCGCGGCCATTTCTTCAGCTGACTACCGAGGTTCTCAGCCCCAGACCGAACTCATGAAGGTCAGCCATGGCTGCATCCTCACTCTCACAAGGAGTTACAAAGACATGTCATGCCTTCGGGGTCGCTTGCACCACCTAATATCAGTCGCCAAATCATTTGAAATAGCACTGACACTATTGCTTTCACGCACTCCTTTTGACCTAGCTGCACGCTATGACGTTGCAGAGGGTGTGGCGCGGCCGCATGACGTCATGGCGCAGCCCCCGAAACTCAGTTTTTCAAACGGAAATATCTCGAGAACGCTTTGTCGGAGACACGTGGGACCAACACCATTCGACTCAGCGGCCGAAACTCTACCGACCCTGAAATTTAAATTTTTCACCGGACTTCCCCTTTAACTGCTAAGCTAACGGTCGGTTAACCGGTTATAACCAGCCACGGCAATCCTGCGGACTCTTTTTTAACCGTATATTTGACTATACTCATTCAAAAAATGTACCCTATTCAGTACAACGCACACGTGTGCATTCTCTTGCATGCTCATTCATACATACTCTCACACCAAGAGACCAGATATGACCGAGTTGACAGCCCAGAAATTGCGTACGCGCGCGACAGCCCACGAAAGTGCACACTTTGCAACGACCTGATACTTGAAAAATTGACTGAAAAGTTACTGCGTAACCGTTATCTTTATCGGTTAACCGTTAATTCTTCGTAACCGGTCTGCAACCGGTTAATCGGACTAATCGTTTGAGCCCTAAAAGAGATACATGACAGACACACCTGCATTGTGTTTTGTGATTGTTTTCTGGTACAGTTTTTCTAGCAGTCCATAGACCATAGGGCTTTTTTTCTCGCGGTGCCATTGACATTGCCGACTGGGCATCGGGCATTCTGGCTGTTCTGTTCCTACGGATTTTTCCCACGTCTTGATCGGAAACCTCGGCAAATTGCGCGGATCCTGCAGGTTGCTGAGCATTGCGCGCTTTGGTTGAGGCTCATCCGGCTCGTCCAAGATCTCCTTCGCGAGCGACTCCGCAATAAAAGTTTCAGTCTCTTCCTCAACTTTTCGGAGGAGCTCATTCAGACGCCAATATCGTTCAACAAAGGGGCTTCTTTTCTCCCAGTTCCAGATCAAATGTTGGAGCGCCATGATGACAGTTGTGGTTGCAAACAGTCGCTCTTCTGCTTTAGTTATTTTATTAGTAACCAATGAAAGACCTTGAAGTAGAGAGTCAGCCCAGTGGCTACTGCCCTACGCGACGGGCAGTGGAATCCGTTTCTGCCCGTCGTCAAGTGACGACGGGCAGTGGAATCCGTTCCTGCCCGTCGTCACTTGACGACGGGCAGTGGAATCCGTTCCTGCCCGTCGTCACTTGACGACGGGCAGTGGAATCCGTTCCTGCCCGTCGTCACTTGACGACGGGCAGTGGATCCAGTTCCATCACCTTTGTCCTTGAGCAGGCAGGACCGCGCTTTCCAGCCCGCGCTGTTTGATCTGTCATTGGTCAACTCCAAGGCGACAATCACGTGACATACGGGAAGTCAGGGTTGCGAGTTACAACACCCTGGTATGTATGCATTCAGTGCATGCAGGTACATGTATGACGCTGTATTCATCACTGACATCAGCTTACAAGTCCTCTTCTTTCCTCAATCAGTCAATGTTCAGTTGTTCACCCTCCAGTCGGCTGCTACTTGCACCGAGAGGCGCACCAGAGCGCAATCATTCTCTTCACTTTCTTTGCCCGCTGCTACCACTAGATATGGCATGTTCTCTATTTCTTTCCTTGGCGCTGATAGGTGGAATTCTCTGCCTGTCTCGTGTCGTCAGGTTGAGCATCTATCCGTTTTTGTTTCGCTCTGTATAAGAGCACTTAGGGTTCCCTGTAACAAGACGGCAACGTCTGTAGGGCCTTCCCTATCAAAATAATAAATTCTACTACTACTACTACTACTACTGTACTATGACATGCAGACAGTGCAGGTATGTACATGTATGTATGCAGTCCAGGTATGATTGTATGCATGTCACTGAGTGCAGGTATGTATGCGTGTAGTGCACTTCTTTGTACAGTGCTGGCAACTGAAATCCGACCCCCTAGCGTCTCGTACGAATCGCTAACGC